CTCTGCCCAGCCCTCCTTGTCTTTCATCTTTAAGTTCCTCCTTTCCAAAGCGCTCAAGAGCAAGTAACAACCACAGACCTCCAGGCAGAGCTTGCAGAAGCTAATGGCAGAATGTTATAAACATCACTGATTTCCAGAGAAGCTGGGCAAAGGATCAGGTTATGACTGTGTTCACATCAACCATAAAATGGATCCTCTGATTGGACAGGCAGCACAGCACCTTGAATTGAGCAGTTAGGAGCTGTTCAGGTTGCTTCCCAGTGAACTCACACTCTGGGTTGACCCCTACAAGTGTCCTACACAATTGGAGAGGATGGTTCTAGCTGTGTGCTGTATGAAGACTCACCAGCTGGAGGTAGCACACAAAACAGCACCACCATGTGAATGGTAGAGAGCAGAATCAGCTGTAAGGAGGAACTTCACTTGGGCAGAAAGCGTTCTTCCAAAAACTACAATATGATGACTCTATTAGACTAAGACATAGTCTATGGATGTATCATCTTATAATGGATGGATAAATTTGATTTTAATTTGGTTGAGCTCTTCTTGGGGACCCATTGTGGGATTTAAATCATGTCACAGTTGTGAAGATTTGGCACAAGATAGGGTGGTAAGGAAAAAAAAAACATTAAAGTGACCGTGCCATAGAGTTCAGATAACTCGTTTCCAGAGCTCAGAAACATGAACCTGTGCAATAACAAACAGACTTATAAAGTACCTGACACATAGCAGATGTAGATGGAAAACACTCCTGACTTTGGCTGCCTTAAAAGAAAGTGGTAGGACACAACATTCAGAAATGAAAATGAATAGATTGTTTAGCTGGAGATGACTGATCATCAATGACATACAATCAATGTCTGGTCCTTTTCTTGCCAATCTAGACCCATGCACTAATTTGTTTTATTATTTGGACATGTTCTTGCATCTCCAGTTGGTAGTGCTTATAATTGTCCACATCAGAAGCATCATTCCAAGTAGGGTTGATTTTAATATAGAGAATTCAAATCTAAACACAATCTTTCAAATCCCTAGGAGTGATAGGGAAGCACATAGAACAAATGACTGGTTCTCTGGTGGTTCTCCAGAATCTGAGTGCATCTACCACTGACCATATGGTTGTAACCCCGTGGTCTCGGACCTGCCCAGGAGCCTGGGTGTGTTTGTCTGATGTTCTCAACCAGAGTTTTGAAATTATTTGTTCTGTTTTGAACTGGTGAGAATTTGCATTTCCAACAGAGATATATGGGATCAGAATGAACAGTTTAAGAAGATTCCTAGTGAGTCTTATGTATAGTCAATTTGTACAACCATTGCTCTACAGTGGTTCTCAGAATTGGCTCCTAAATATCAGCATCAGGGGTGCCTGGGAAGTTG